TAGAGATGTTTTAGAGTCCAACTTCACGTTTTAGGAGCATCTCAAAGGTATGCTGGGTTTTATCCACTTGACTATTTTTTTATGGGACAAAACCAGAAGTCTAGCATCATGGTCTGACCCACCCTGAAATTTTATTAAAAGTTCACTCAAAGCAATGCAGATGATCAACTTTTTTTAGGATTTCTGTTAAATAAATTACTATTCCTAGAAGGTAGAACATTTCTATATCTTTCTGTTCCCCCTCCTTCTCGTGATGGATTTCACCCAACAACTAGTCTTTCTTCTGGTTCTTTTTTTTGTGAATAACATGGTCATAATTTATTAAGACCTCCTTAGTAAATGGAAAACTTGTGTATAAGGCAAAGATGTAAGCTGTGGATGGAGAAAATGCAGTTTTCAGTATTAGGTGCCTTCTAAACTGAAGTGGTGATCCTCTGCTTTCAGTGTCATCTTGAATGCATTAAGCATGTAGCAATTAGAAGAAAGTTAAAGATTTGTAACCATGATAATTGGACAGACTTTGACTAATACGTAATTAGAAAACAGTACAGTATTTAAAAAAAAAAAAAAATAGTAAAGATGACACCATAGCTTTAATATCCTAATAATTCTGAACATGGAGCTGTTTTCTACTTTTGAGTTGTCAGTTTTCTTCATATTAAGCTGCTTAGACCTTTTTAGGTCATGAAGGATAATGAAAAAATATATATTTTTATATGTGAAAATGCAAAATTGTCCAAATGTAAAGGCTCAAATATTACCTCATTTTTGTCAAAAGAACTAAAAATAACATTATCAAAAGCTTGCTTCTTTGCTGTATTTCATATATTTTTGTGTCCAACTCAACTTACTGTACAACTTAAGTTTCTTCTGTAAATTGAACATTTTTCATTTTGCTCATTAGTGTAACTGAGACTATTTGATATAAAGTTAGGATTTATTAGATTAGATTTTTATTTGCACTTTTCAAGTCTGGCATTTGGAAACCCTTTCTAGGTGAGAGGAATTTTTTCTGACAATTATTTTTGCATAATAGAATTCCACATAGTACTGATTGCTATAAATGTACTAATTTTTCACTTCAGGAAGGATTAGAAAATCTGAATTATTTGTTGAAGTATTTGTGATAATCAAGTATATATTGCTTGTTTTCTACATTCATTTTTAGCAATTTTGTTTTTACAGGTGAGGTCCCAAATCAATAAATCCTTTTGGCTAACATCTGTCTGTCAGGTCCTAAGCTGGAAGGATGACTTCTGTAACCCATCACTTAAACACTGAAAAAGGAAAAAAAAAAAAGTACCTAGAAGATTCTTTTTTTTTAAGCTCCGACGGTCTTATGTGTTTGATACTTCCTTTCTGTAGAATTACTTGGCTAAGGAGAATTCACAAAGCTAAGCTAGTTGTGGTCACGTGAGGAAAAATGTTCTGGTAGTAATTTTGACATCAGTTTGATTGAAGGCTTTTTTGAGGCATTTTTACCCTCTTCCTCTTCCTCCCTTTTCCCAGAACAATTGTATTCAGACTGCTGATATTTGCACTTTCCTGTCTTTCGCTTGCTGATGTCACTGGTCCGTCCAGCTTTGATATGCCATTGCTTACACGTAGAACTGGTACATTGTAAAGTGAAAAACGGCGAGTAAATAAAAATTAGGTTGAGAAATATCAGTATTTTTCTCATTACCATTATAATATTTTCTTGGTGAGGAATTTTGAGGATTCATTTTCAGTAGTAATCCTGCTAAGAAAAAGGTGAAAAGTTTAAATAATCCAGACGTGCTATTGTGCTAGCCTTTGGCATGCACAGATTTCGTTATGTTCTTCCTCCTGATTCTAAGGTTGAAAGACTGGACAAATTGGCTTTCACATTTAGAAGTTGCGAATTATTCAAGAGAGGGACTAAAGTGACATTTTTAGTCAAATCCCTTAAAGACAAAGATACCTTCTTCTTTCCTGACTATACTTCACTAATAAACAAATATTATAAGCCCATTTACTATGCACGTGCAATCCATCCATCGGTAAGAATTCAAGTAGTTTAGGGATAAAACTAGCTTGTAGTAGTTCATTTCTTCTCCTCTATAAAGAAAATGAGAAAATAATCTAAACCTTAAGTTGATAAAACTTAAGTTTTGATAGGTTTTGGATTTTGCCAAGAATTGCAGAATTTTTATCATTCTTCCAAGGTCTGCATGCAAGTTGCAAGTCTAGGACATTTTGTGAAACTAATACATTAATCTTTGAAGTCTTTTTTACAGAGAAGAGCAAAGACAAACAAATGATCCAGAAGAGGCAATGCTCTTGTTTGATACATGTCTGATCAAATTAAATCTTCTGATAAAATGTGAAGTCTTCATTGTTTTCTTTATCCTTTGGTTATCAGCTTAGTAATATGTCACAGGACAGATGTCTAGCTTCAAATGTACTTGGTTGCACTGCTTTGTTGAAGAGAATTTCTTTATCAGCCCATTTGCATTCTATTCAAGGTAAAAGTTATTTAAGTCTAGTAACTAACCTAACTAGACCATACCTGTATCAAATTTTCTAACCTCAGTAAGGCAAGGAAAATGCACTTGTAAATTCATGTGGTCCATTAAATGCCTTTCCTGCCTGTACAGTATATGGCATTGACAAAAGGTTTGGGATAGTTATCTTGAGCACGGGGTTAAAAGAAATTAAAAGATGGATACAGTGTGATAGCTGTTGTGCTTGTTTATTAAGCAATGGAATCAGAATTGATCAAGGGTACTCATGTGCCATTTTCACACTGTCCTGCAGATTTAGGTAAAACCATCAACCATGCCTTTTCCATCTTTCTTTCTTAACCTAATTGGTTTCTTTTTTGTCTTTGTGATGTTGTGTATTTCAGTGCTGGTGTATTTTTTCCTCTTAAGTTGCAAGTTACATTTGTACATATCCCATGAGCCATCCTGTTTTGTCAAAGTTTTGATTTTAAAAAAACAGATATTCAGCCCTTAGCAAGCATCCAGTCAACACACATTGGATTCAGGATGTTTTCTGGTGTTTTCTTTGCCTAATATATTATTGTATTCTTTTTTCTTTAACAGCCTCAAGTACTACAGCCTTCCAGCAGCCTTCCCAGTTCCACAGACCTCGCCCAGGGAAAACTAATAAAAATGCCACATATCGAGGCCCACAGTGAATATCCTAAACATGGTCTGCATGCAAATAGCAATCATCAGAATCAAAATGCTGCAAATATCTCTCTCATAAACAGCCTGAATGATGCAAACTCTTTAATGAGTGTACAGTCAAGCGTAAAAGATGAGAATACATCATATTTGGAAAATTTGAAAAATAGAAATACTGAAGACCCTGGAGAGATGGCTAGTAATGAAGAAGGTGCACTATCATCTTGTTCCTGTTTTCAGACCTCTACAGGAGCTGACGACAGAGAGGTGCAGACTGAATTAGCTGTGAAAGGTCAAACCTCTTTCACAAATCAGGCTTCTCGGCCAAAGACTTTAAGAATAGCAAAGCCCCCGAATGCTTTAGTGCCTCCTACAATGGCCATTCTCGCACGATCTGCAAATCGTTTCTATACTTCCAAGGAACGTGAGCTTCTACCATCAAGTAGTTCAACTCCGCTACAGTCAACATCTGGTCAGGATAACCTAAAGGGTAAACAGAGTCAGAAAGTGTCTAAACTTCGTCCACCAACTATGTCCTTTGTTAAATCTAAGCAAGTGAGCAGTCAGAAATCCACACCAGTATCTGCAGAGCCTCAGAACACCTGCTTGAAGACTAACATCCCAAAGCCACCAGTACAGAGAAAGGAAGGTGTGCAAGCACAGGGTACTGGTTTGCATTCTGGGGACAGTTTGCCCTCTAATCGGCATT